GAAAATTTCACTACTTAGAATAAAAAGTTTTTATTATTATTATTTGGATATTTTTGTTATCTTTATCGAATCTAACATACGAGAAAGGCATGACGCCAAAATCAACGCTTGCTTCATTCGCTTACTGTTTTTTTCCGAATCATTATTCATGACTTCCAATGATTTTCGTTGTTCTTAGATTTTTTATGGGGTTTAAGTGGGTAGTTTGAAGTCATAATCTTTTTTTTTTTTAACAAAAAGTAAATATCGTTATTTTATTTATTGCGATTAATTTGAAATCAACATTCTGTTGGTACCACCAAAAAACTTCTGAAACTCTTCAAACAAATCTGAAGCTACTTTTTATTTAATGTTATCCATCCGCAAACTTTAGATTAATTTTCGCAAAATCAATATTTTAACCTCTTGAGGAATATACTTGCAGTTCTATTGCACCTCACAATTTTGATAGATTTGTTTGATAAAAAGAAGAATTTTATAAATCGAGTTATAGTTTGATCAAAATTAGTTTATAAAACAAAAATTTTTGAATTAAAAATTCAAAAAATATTTATTTCCATAACATATCGATGAGTTTTGTTAACCATTAAAGAAAACATTTTCTAGGCTGTTACAAAAAGCTTTATATATTTAAATCATTTTTGTGCCTTTAACTGCCCACGAAATGATGCTAACTTTAGAAAAAAAGTAAATATATTTAAAATTTTTGCACTTTTGCATTTAACTTGAATTTAATTTGTAAAAATCGTAAATGTATGAGCAACTTTCTAGATATTTATACACATTGTAAAAAAATCTGGATTCCAATAGTATATTTAAACTAACCATGCTCTGTAGAAAAATGTTTAGATATTTTGCTTTTACGTAAATCTCAACACCCCTTAACCTATCTGAGAATTGTATTATGGCTTGAAACATTGGTGTATGAGGTTGAAATAAACATGAAAAAAGTCAAAAAAGTTACTGACATGGATTCCTCTAGTAAGAATCATGATACCTTTTTCCGCTAGCATTTATTTTCAAAATCAGCCGGTTCCATTCAGTCATCCTAACATATTATTGGTATCCAACTTATTACTACGTTTCCAACACATTAAAGGCAGACTTAATAATAATTATATGTACCAAAAAAGCATAGAATTAAACTCAGAATCAGTCAAGCATTAAAAGGACAGCGTATATTCACTTTATTTATTAAATTCTAAAAATTATATATGTAGGCTTTATTACTGTAAATTCAAATATAAGGATCAAGCTGAATACAATTTCCTAATTACACAACATAAATAATTAGTGCCAAAAGAGCTATTTTATTCTCTTATGTACCTAAAGTGAAAAAATTTAATATAATTTTACATATGGAATAAACTGCATCATTTCACATCAAGAAATATTTAATATAGATAATATTAGTAAAAATTTTTTGTTCAAAATGCTCTCTCATAATTTTAATTTAAGAGAAAATAAAATAGTTAAAGGTAGGTAAAGAGAAGACTTGTCCCACATATTTGGTTTCTTTCCATATATTCACAATTTTCGATGAATTTTATTAATTTTTAATACGTTTCTGAAACTAATTTGAAGATAAAAATTATGAAAGCAGTAAAAAGAATCTATCAACAGTTTTTATCACGGGGTTGATTTTTTAAATGGAAAAGTCTAGTTTTATATTTCTAAGAACTGAAGAAATTAGAGAATAAATTATTTATATATATATATATANTACCATCGATTCCAGCCAAATCTATGCAATTAAGCGGGTTATTCGACTAAAAGGGGAGTGCAATGTTCATATCTTGAATTTCTGTGAAATTTTACTCTTTAATTGTATTTAATGCAAAGTATATGCGTTTTGATTAAATAAACTTAGTTTTATGATCAATAGACAATTATAATTAATACTATCTGTGTTAGTATCATAAAATATAAATGTAATTTAAAGTTACATAAAAATAAATCAATATTAGTGAAAAGTATAATATATGTGAGGCCCGGTGGCTGAGCGGTAGCGCTGTCGTGCCACAGGTCCCTGGTTCGATCCTTGGGCCGGGCAAGGTTGACTCAGCCTTTCATCCCTTCAGTGGGTCGATCAATGAGTTACCAAGCTTGGGAACTAAACACTGAGGGTTCCGCGTACGGCTGACCACCTGACCGGTACATCTGCTCCTGCACCCCAGAGCCCAAGGTCAAGAAACTGAGATGGGCACAGTAGGCCTTGGCCCTCTACGGGCTGTCGCGCCGCTGAGTTTTTATATATATAAATATACGTATATATATCCTATTACGTAACCAAACTTTATTGTTTGTAGAATGTCATGTTTTATATATAATTTTCAAAAAAGTGTAAAATGCTTTGCTGACGCATCTTCTGAATTAAGATTTACCATTACATTAAAAATGAGATTTTTCGTTACAAAAAATCTTTGCTCTAATTACTAATTTATAAATTAAGTAAGTAAGATGATTAAGAGGATTACTATACAATATTAAATATTGCTTATTTTTCAATCCGTATTGGTTGAATACCACCTATAAATCAATGTTCCAATATCTCTATTTTTATAGGCTCTAAAAATTATTTTGAAAACACAAGTTTGATAATATGTACCATATTTCTAATTTTCATTTCATCCAAAATCTGTATAAATTTCAAAATTTCGATTTATAATTTAGACCGTGATAAAGATAAAATAATGATAGTTTGAAAATGAAAAAGACTGATTTTTAAATTTTTAAAGACTTCTTCTTAGTCTGTAGTGGATTCTATATTAAACGGTGACTGATACATCAGAGTTTAATTATCTTTGAAACAGATAATTATTGCAAAAAGTTTGTTTCAGGGATACTTAAGAGGCCCTAGATATTGACTTATTTTGAAAAAAATAAATATGTAAATAGAAAAATCATAGTTTTAATGGAAAGAGAACAATAGTCTGTATTTATTGCTGTTTTGTAAGGTATGTTTTGAAATTTAATTAGTGTTATAAACCTAATAAAATATTTGAAATATCAATGCAAATAAAAGAATCCCGGTTTATTTTGGGTTTTTGTAGTTTTTTTCAGGCAGAAAGTTTAATCTTTTCAGAAGTTTTGCATTCAAAAGCTGTAAAGCTGGTAAATAAACTGATATAAATTTGGTAGAGGATTATTATAAATACTAGTTTTTCTTCTCAATGTTTTGAAAAATCTAATTTTTCAAGGAAAATATCCTTTTTCATAAAAAATATTTAATCCTTGAGCTTCTCTGGTAAATAAGTTTACACTTATCTATTTATTTTTTTACTATTTCAGAAAAGTACTGAACTAATCTTTTCATTTTTATAAAAACATGATGAAAAACATGCGTAAATTGAATTGAAACATTAAGCAAAATTAGACATCAAAAACAGATTTTAAAATACTTTCACAGGGTAGGACGAAATAATGGAAACACTTCTATCGTAATAATTTTTTATCTTCATATTTCTCCTGAAGTACTTAACAAGGTATTTAATAACTTCAGAATTGTTTAGATCATGCGATTTTTCATACATATCAATGAAGTTTGAAACTTTTAAAGGTTTAAGGGACCAACAGTAAATTCCAAACGGAAAATGATGTTTTTGAACACCCTCTGCCAAAAAATGTAGCAATACGTTTGTAACTTGAGGTAGTTATTTTGATTATTTGATGCATTAATTAAACGAAATTTCGTAAGCATAGCTTCAATATTTATTGACATACGGATATTTTTATTAAAAACAAAAAAAAAAAATTTCTTTTTTGTCTTACGTTTTTTTTTGCCGTATTTTTAAAAATATTCAATAAAACTAAACACAATTTTTAGATCTTTTTAAAATAAATTTAAAGTTTGTTTCTTTTAAATTTGAATATTGTTCAAAACTGCGCAAGACATAAGTAATTAAAGTAGTTATTTTATACTCCTGGAAGATTTTTTCTTAATTTTTTAGTGAATCGTATTTCCCAACTAATTAAAAAAATTCCAATTTGGATACCTTAAAAATATTTTTTTAAGTATTTCAGGAGCAATATGAAAAAATTTATTAGCATGAATGTAATTCCATTATTTTGTACACTCCCTTTACAGCATTGAGCATTATAAAAATATTGTATATAGTCACATCAATTTACTTCATTCACATATATATAGAATTTCTATTTAGTATTCCTTCAGCATAGATGTTACAGTGCAGTAAAAACGAACTACTTTTATCTAAATAAGAAAGAGATCAACTAGTAATATTGAAAATGTGATGAAAATAGGTAAAATTCAAGCATTTTATTTCATACAATTTTAGATATATTTATAATTTCATTTTCAGTTTTATATGCTAATAAAATATCAACTCTTATCATAGAGCTATAGTATAACCCTTTTTAACTATGCTAATCCACCTAAAAGTAACTAATTTATAAACATGTTTTATGTAAGTATCTTTGGAGATGTTAATTGGGAAAGATTAAAAAAATATTTTACATTCTTATAAAGCTCTCTTACTTAAAATGCTATAAGTTCCTCAGAAATGAGGATGCTAATTTGATCTGCTTATGGGAACCATAGTTATTCAATGCTTTTAACAATCACATAAAAGTCGTTGCAAAATATTTGCTTGGTACCAATTGACTTTCTGGAAACGCTATGTCGATTAAATTTTTTTAAATGTGTGTAATATTTCAATAATTTAGAAAATGTCCAGCTGATGATTGACTGATTTCAAAATCCAAAACCTCAAAAAAATGTGATAGTAGAATGAAATCAATATGTTTATTGTGAGAGCTGTATAAATTTTAATTTCAAAAGCTAAAAAATGTTATAAAGAAATTTTCCTACTTAGTTACAAAGGTTGCCAAGAGATGGCGCGTCAAATAATGACTAGAATGATACATTCTAGCGTTAAAACGTGAAAGGAGGGTGTAGTATAGAGTACAGGATCATAGGTTTAAGCTGTATATTCTGTAGAATAAAATGTTTCTCTCTTTCTTTCTTTTTTTTACTGGAATAGCAATGTTTGGTTACAGTTTTACGGCCTATTACTTTCAAAAAACTCTATTTGGTGCACTGCGCTGTCTGTTGGTAACTTTTGTAACTAAATTCCAAAAACTTTGGCATAACATTTTCACAGTTTTTAAGATAGGCATACTTTTTAATGCGAATCTTTGTTTTCGAGATTATTAATTTTGTACTCAGTCAGTCCTCATCTGGTCACCCATCAAACGTTGAATGACTGAATAACAATAAATACTACATCGATTATGTATTTTAAATTGTCTATGACGTTACCTCAATTTAAAAACTTTTAGAAATGCATTGACCACAATAATTATAATCTTTATATTTAAGTAATTTAATTTATATATTTTTTAATCTCTCGTTGGACGTTACTGTAAAGAATTGTGCATATAAATAAATAAACCTGTTAGAAACGTTCAGTCTATTTTTTTTAAATGGATGAAAGCTAAAATCAATACCAAGTAAAATTTTCGTACTAAATATGCCGGTTGTTTTGTAAACAAATCTTAAAATCTGTCGAAGAACTCGACTTTGTTACATTTAGCCACTTAAAACTGGAAATCAACTACAATATATCTATGTCATCCGGTATCTCATCATCAATAGTATACAAATACAACGTCCAATAGAGAATATTAAAGAGAGCAAAAGCACAAGGAAACAATATTCGAGCATATCCATCAATACGGCTTCCTCTATCTCGAGTCCAGCTTGTTTGAATGTTAGTGTTGATTTCTCTGTATCGTTTTTTCTTTTTCCAGCGAAATGGACGGAATCTTTTAAAAAACGTTTCTGATTTTTTTTCATTATCACAAGAAATTCCTGCAACTGTTAGTTCATCTCCATTTTCTTTGTGCGTTTCTGGAATCTGAAAGTTCAGAAAAATATTAATACGCTGACTGAAAAAAATTTCAACACCAAAAAGGAGTTGTGCTAGGTAAGTTAAATTTCGTAGATCTATTTACACAACTAAAATATTATGTCTTCTTAAATTTCATGCTTGGCTCATCAGATTGGCGATAATAGCGCCACTTTGAACATGTGAATGAGGGTTGCTTTAAATATTAGTTCTACATTTCGCAAGCGTTATTTTTCGCTAAATTTTGATATAGTAATTTGCTGTTAGTCAAGAATGCCTTTAAGAAGACGAGTAAGCCATTATCAACAGCTCACTGACTTTGAACGTGGTCGTGTAATGGGGCTACGAGAAGGCGGATTTTATTTTCTCGGTATTGCAGACAGACTGTAGTATTTAGTAGTAGACACAAGTAGATGTATCTACTATGCATAATTTAATAAATTTTTAATCTTTGTTGAACAGCTGACCCAATTTTGGGTTTACGACTACCAATGTTCAACTTTGTAGCCTTGTAATTTTGAACCCAATTCAGAATACAAAGGAACTCCTGCATCAAATATTGAGAGAAATTCGCCTTCATGGAGGACTTTTCGATGGAACTAACCCGCACTTACGTTACATGGTGAAGAAAACCACTAAATATTCCCATAGTTAGTCTGACGGCAAGGGGACTCTAACCCATGATCCGTGTACTACTGAGGATATTTTAACATCAGCTGGATGCGAAATTTCGGAATTCGTATCGACAATTGGAAGTTGAACTTTCGATTCCCTGAGCCACCACGACTCCACTGTGTATGATTTTAAAACCATCGTTGAACAGCAGACCGAAATTTGAGTTAACGACTACCAATGTACAACTCCGTTGCCTTGTAATTTTGAACCTAACCAGAAAACAAGAGAACTCCTGGACCAGTACCCCAAGAGTTATGGATTTGTAATGGTAACTTGGAGGACTTTTTGACCCTGATAGATTTAACGTGCACCAGTCAACTTTTACTGAAAGGAAATTCTTCGGCAGGCAGGATTCGAACTCCTGTTCTCACGAACGCGAGTTCAACTCCTTACCAACCAGACTATCCCGGCCACTATGTATGATTGTTGGCAGCAGTGGTCAAGGAAATGTACTGCTTCAAGAAGACCGGGATCTTGGAGGCAACGTGGCACTACTCAGACGGTATACCTCCATGTACGGAGTATGGCTGTGGCACACCGTACTGCATCTGCATAAAAAAATCCAAGTCATTCACAACTAACATTTATTATCTCTGTATTGACTGACCAAATGCAACAAGCATGGATCTCAATCACATCACGCAAAATGAAATACGGCATCTGTATGGCACAATGCATGCCTGTTTACATGCGTGTATTTAAAATTCTGGGGGTTGCATCTCTTATTTATGTACCAGTATTCCACACTTGAAATGTTTTTTCTCTTATTTGCATTAACCTGTGTTCTAGAATCTTTAATCAATTAAATATGTTTCTCAGACAAGCGCATTGCCGAAATTTCATTACTCTACAGTAACTTTTTTTAGTGTTGAGAGTTTTTTTTCCATCATTGTATTTTATTCAGTTTCCACGACGATAGAAAATTGAAGAAAAATAATTAGGTAAGATACAAATTTCTGTGTACTGGAAAGAATTGCACTTTTTATAAATAATTAAATTTATGAGAAAACTTCATTCAAATAACAAAAAGTAATCTCCCCTAGTTATATGTAAGTATAATACGTATTACGTAATAAGTAAGCATAGAGGAGGGGATTCAATATTTATATGCTTAATAAACTAATAAAAGTTGGATCTAAAAATTGAATTAAATATTAGATAAATATAAAAATATATTTATCTAATAAATTAGATAAATAAATTAGATAAATAAATTAGATAACTATATAAAAATTGGATAAATATAATTACGTATTTTAACAGCCTGTTAAAAAATATAGTATTAACTGGAAGCTGTTAACATTTCTTAGCTGCGAATGAGAAAATAAAAATAGGTTTTTTGTGTGGGGATACAATTCTTTTGTGGCTATTATGGTGAAATTTTGTTACCAAAATTTCGACTTCTTTCCTTCTAGCTAAAATGCTAAAAGTTGTCCAATGACGAACCAAGTTGCATTCGTTTTCTGACCGATACATGCAAATTCCATCACCATTTTATATTGCCTTCTATTCTTATTAAAATCCAGAGTTCTTTAAATTTTCACTGCAACTTTGAAAGTATTAGTTCTCATTTTCCTGATAACAGAAATCAGAATTTATGACTATGATCTTTCCTAATGGAATTCATCGTCAGTCAAAATTATGCTGAATTTGGGATAAACTAGAGCATTAAAATGTTAACGGATGCACTGTGTTGGATAACATATTAAATTTAAATAGTTTTCTAAACCCAAATACGAGCAGAATTTATAGTCAGATTATCACCAGTTAAAATTAAACTTCAATTGAAACTCCAACAAACTGTACAATTAATTAAAGGGATGGCTCAAAGTGTAACTGCACTTCTGTTTTTGACAAAATTTCAATCATTCACTAATGCACTCTTCATTTTTTAATGTTTTTTGTTTGGGAAAAACAAATTATTTTCTCTTTTTATTTTTTAAATTTTTTATTTTCCATTTTCTTCTTTCTTGTTGCCTGTCTAATTTTTAAGGGAAATCATTGGAACTTCAAGTGGAGATTACATGACATAAAAGTTTGCTCCCACCATTTAAGCAATTGGAACCTGCATTGAAATCAAGCAGATAGTTCCAATTCAGATATGTGCAAACTAGCTTCTTTGAAAAATATCGAAATTTTTAATGACGATAAATTCCATTTAGCGAGAACATTTTCATGCAGTTTTTAAATTTTTTTTTCATTTCACTTAAATAGCCACCAATGCTGCACTGAGCTCCAGATGAACATTGAACAGTCTAACTAGTCAAAAAGCTGTTAGGATTTCCATTGACGATTTGGCAATAAATTCTTTCTAAATATTTGAATTCAAAAACATGTTTTAGTTTTTATGATCAATAAACTTTTACTGAACGACAATTAGACGATAAATCTTGTGCGTAGCTGTCAAGAAATGATCGAAAGTCACATTTCGTCAGACATGGAGGAGCAGTTTCAATTTCAGCTTATTAGATAATCCAAAAGTCATCAGAATTTTGATTGGTGACAAATTCCGATTGGAGATAATATATCGACAAATTGTGTTTTTACTGAAAAAATGATGATTGAAATTTGAATCTTATTTAACACAGAGTTCCGATTCAAATTTTAGTGATCTAGCTAAACTAGTGAAATTAGTGAAACTTTTAGCACAGAATTTCGTTAAAAAATTGCATAATTTTGTTCAGGGCGTTTTATTATGATAAATAATATTTCAATTAAGAAAATTTGCTATTTTATCTGTTTTTTTACATAATTTCAGAACAAATGTATAAAGTGGTAGTAATAGAAAGCAAATGTCATGGAAATATTACATATAGATGCTATATTTCAAATAAAAGAGTAAAAGAACCAATATTCCAATCTATTTTATACTTGAAAATTAATATTGAAGCGTAATACCGTATTTATATTATTCAATATGGTTTAGTCTAGAAACATTGATTTAAATGATTTGAAAATTAGCTCTATATTAATACAGTAAAAGGAACAATACATATAACTTATAAACCTGAAAATTCAACTAAATGCTTTACATAATCTAGTATTATATTTAAAATTACAAAATGAATAAATAAATAAAATTAAGAAATCTTACACTTTCCTTGTCTTGTTGAAGCTTCAGAGCTCTTTGTAGTTTAATGAGATCATTTCTATCAACGACGTTAACGCAAGCATATTCAACCATTGCAGCAAAAACAAAGGAAAAACATAAAATGACAAACCAATCTATTGCAGTGGCATATGCAACTCTAGGGAGTGATGACCTGCCACCAAATCCCATAGTTACTAAAGTCAGCACCGTAGTTGCGCCTAAAAAGGAAATAATTTTTTAAATTGCCAGGTGCAACGAAAATATAATGAAAATAAATAAGAACTTGAAACAAAAAAGTACAACTAATATTAATACGTAGCTCCGATTTAATATCAGACAGACAGAATATCCATAAAAAAAATTTTTTTTTTATGTGATTGAATGCTGACTTTAAATGTTTATAGTGATTTAAAAAATTGCATGTTCGGTTTTCAATGTTTAAGAAAAATAGTAATTGTGATTATGAGTTTTTAATTTTTCCAGTAACAATAGCGATCTCAGTAATAAACATGAACTTTAAAATTTCTTAGGTATGAGTTATATTTCAAAATCATAGCCTTTCATTAATAAATTTTTTTGTAAAAATTAGTTAAAACCTTTATATTTATACTTTTTGCCATATTTGAGACAAAAAAAGAAGAAAACAGTAGCTATAAAGAAAATAAGTCTAAAATATTCACGTTGAACATATAGTGCTTTTCAGGGATTTCTTTATAACAATAAGTACATGTGATGCAAAATGTGTAACATGTGTTAATTTTGTTAGGCTGACTGCTTATAAAATTTCCATTGGTGACTTCCGCTGGTTTATCTGGTAATTGGGTCTGGTAATAAAGGGTTTTCATAAAACTCCTTTTTTTCTTACCTATTTCATAACTTTTCTTATTTGACCAACCTATAAGCAGCACAATTAAATTTCTAAACCTTCATATAAAAAAAACTATGAAACAGTGAAAAATGGAAGCAGAAAAAACCAATTCAAAAGTCTGAATAATTTAAATGGTTTCATTTATGAGTTTTCTAACATTCAAAATACTATTTTCAGCTACATTTGTTTAATGAAGAGTATTGAGTAAGTTAAGATAGAATGTCGATTATGAAACTGCTGAAATGACTAATGGAAACTTAATATTGCATCATTTATTATTAACTTTAAGTAATTTCCAAGAAAACTATTTTGCTATTTAGTTCACACCAAGATACATTTTTGAGTGTCCAACTTTTGCAGCAAATGTTTTGAGATTTCATTTGGTTTCTCTTTTGGATTCATTGCAAGATATTTTTACAGCTGACAGTACCATGGCTGACAGCTGCCATTGTTCAGATTTTTGATATCATATGAGATTTCTTCTATTTTTTGTGATTGTGACAACCAATGGAGTAGACAACAACTACTATTTCCAACTGCTTCATACAGAAAAATTCATGAAACCCATATTCGGTACTTAATATATTTGAAATGATTAAATAAAAACTATACGTGTATTCAGTCTCATTAAAACAATTCATCGCATCATCATCAATTATTAAAATTATCATTATTTAAATTATTTATTATTTTCATAAAGAATTCAAATTTGCATGATAGCAAAACTAATGAGTATGTGATAAAGTTAATCATAAGCAATATCTTAATTCAAGCATATGCAAAAACAAAATATTTTTCTTGAAGTAATCAATTTTTGTCTTTTATGCAAGAGTTTTGAAAACACCCGAGCAAGTTTAAAATTCAAACTTCTTATTTCTTTCCACATCTGCAAATGCTTATTCATGATAACTAAAAATATATATTAATATCAGGAAGTAATATTTTATACACTAGCTCTATGAAATTCAATATCTTGATATGAACTCTCTCATATTTCCTTAAATCTGTTAATATGGTTGAATGATTCCGTTAAAGGTTATCAACATTTCTCCGAAATAACTGAGAGTTATTTTATTCCATTCAACGATGCAATATTAGAATTTGAGAACATTAAAATTCCTAAAACTCGAGGGAATAAAGTAATTCCTTCGTTTATCAAAAGATGTGCCATTTCATTGCTGATTTCATATCATATCTTTTACATTTCATCTTATATTTTATATGAATTTTCTTTAAACTAATTGATTTTGTTAAGTACAATTATTCGTTATATATGTTAATAGAAAGAAAATTGTAAGTGATTGTAAAATTTTTACATTTTTCGCAGATATTAGAAAGTGTAAACAACGAAAATGATTGATGCCATACTGCGACAAATATATGACAGAAACTGCCATTCTATCAAACTTGCCAGTATTATTGGTAAAATCAGTTGCCAGTATTATTGGTTAATTTATAATTTATCAATATGTATTTACTTTATTTTTTAGCTATTATCGATTTGGTATCTGTATTAAAGAGATTTTTCGTGTTTGTTAATCTTACGATATAGGGATAATTTTGTTAGAAATTTCAGTCACAATTAATGGCAATCATATGGTATTTATCTGATTTTTATCCAGATTTGTTTCAAAGCAATGTTATTAGTTTTAATTAAATAATTTATTAAAAAAAATTTAGAATTGTAGATTAAACGCATTTTTTATTCAATACTCTAACGTTTTAATAAATTTAAGCAAAATTGTTAATATGTTATTTTAAAAGTATTGATAGATTATGGTGGGAAAGTATTACGTTTACTTTTCGCTTTTAAATAATTTTATGAGCAAAATTGTTTTAAACCCATATCAATCACATCCCAGTATGACATGGGATTTAATAAGAGCAAAATATTTTTCCGACAATTTGGAACCAAAATATATGAATTAAAATTGTTAAAAAGTGAAAAAAGGCAAGTTTATTATTATCTCCTGATAGAGCCAAAAAACTTCCCCACTTTCAAATTTCAAACTAAGTTTCTAAGAGTAAGCCATACCCCACGTTAACTATTTCTAAATGAAATTTAAAATCTATTAAATTGAATTGGAACTTTCAATGTAGCAGATATCTTTAACTTTAAGAAACTAACAGGAGAAAGAAACCTAAATTTAATGAATGCAATAGTATATCAAATTTTATTCATATTCTTCCAAGCTATTAAAACGTTGAAAGATTTTCTGTACTTTATTTTTCTTCCTAAAAAGTGATTTTAGAAGAAATGTTTAAAAGTTCTTTAGTATAATTGCTATATACAACTTTTAGAATTAAGAATACAGCAATTATATCTTATAATATAAATGAATTGATTTCAAACTAAATTTAAGAGTGATTATACTCATTTCAATTATTTTAGATAAACGCATTTACGCTTTACCATCCCTAGTTAATTTTTTTTTAATGAGAGCAGTTTACTTAAAATTCCGGTTTATGAATTATAGTTCTTAGTACCACACATTTAGTAAGAGATACATAACTGAAAAGTAATTTTTCCGAACAGATTATAAAAACATATTTTATTGTTAATTTTACAAAAAAAAAATCATGCCAAAGCACTTCGGTGAAAACTGCTGAACTTTTCGGCGTTCTCATAGAGCAGGAAATACGGTAAATGTTACCATATTCCGGAAGCTTTAATCATACTTTTTTCACAATGGTGATTTGACATTTTATTGGATGTGTTCAAAAGTGCAGAAATATTATGAGCTCTGTATAAGTTTTGTTTTCTGTTTTATTAGTATTGTGCTGCCCAGTTATGGACATGCATTCATTTCCATAGAACAATTTTTCTTTTCAATCTTATGCCTTACCAAAGTCAGTAAATTTTCCTGTTACTGACGTGTTTTGACACTAAAAGTAGCCAAAAGTTTTATGTTTTTTTTCACTCTGCATGTCATTTTGTTGCAGTTTTAAAATCAAGTTTATAGAAACAGAAGTCCTGCATTTAAGCATGGGCATTTTTTTCACATGGGATTTCTTTCCCCTCGTTCCAGCAGTGATTATCTGCAGTATAAAAATCAAAATTTTCCCCTTTTTTATACACCTAATCTCATAGTAACTGCTTTTAATGTTGATTATTTTTTCAGGATTCCGATGATTGCAATAAAATAAATTTGATAAAATGAAATGAGAACCCTATCAGAGTCACTGTAATCACTTTTTTTGTTGAAAAGGATCATGACAACTTATTTCTGCTTTTTCTTTAACACAAAGTTTGATAAATCTTTGCTAAATCAAAGAGTTCAACATGAGTTCTCTTATACTGAATGGCAAATTCAAAACATTATCGCAGTGGACAAAATAAGTACGAAAAGGTGATATCGGCTTCATAACAATTCAACACACTGTGCTAGGACATACGTTTTTTTGAAGTAAATCTCATGTACCCAAGCTCATACACAGACTAGCTCAAGTACAGACTAGAAATCTTCGAAGTTTTATCTTTTTCTTCTGAAAATATTGTTAAATTTTCAAACGCTCCGAAATAGACTCTAGAAAAAATTCGACATTTTGTGAAAATAGGAATACAGAAAGATAATAGAAGGTTTTGTCATGAAATTTAACTCTCAACAGTTCAAATTCAGTCCTTGTTCGTTTGAGACACTTTTTTTCTTTTGAGGGATGATGTTGTTTTGAGGTATCAATTTAAAATTGTAGATTGCATATTTTTTGAAAAACTTTCAATGGCTATACACTACCCTACAATAATGAGATTTTGTAATTTTTCAAGAATTTTAAAATTTAAATTTCTTTTTTTAAATTTCTCAAGAAATACTTAAAGGATTTTTTTGTAACTTTAGAGGTACTTAGTTCATGCTTTTTTCATACTTAACTATTAGATTTAAAGCTTTCAGAGGTTTTAAATATTCTACAATAAATTACGAAAGAAAACATGTACTTCTGAACATCCTAAGCCAGAAAACCAGAAAATCAAGCGAAAAACTTGTACAGGGTAACAAAAAAATATAGGGATCATTTTTGAATGCTTTTATTTCTAAAATTTAAAGCATAAATTCAGCGATGCTTCTCAATATGTCGACCTCAAGCATAATAGATTTGTCTACAATGCTTCGACCATGATTTAAAAGCCCGCAAAATGATTTCCTGGGGGATTTTCTTCACCTCTTCTCTAATAGCTCTTTGAAGGCCTCTCAATGTAGAAATTCTTCGCTTATTCAGTTTGTTTTTTAGATGTCCCCATAGGAAATAGTCGCGTGGGTAGCATCAGGACTGTTTGGAATCCATTGTTCTGGTCCCAGGAATTGTACTTGCTGATCTGTTAAGAATTTCTGGGTGACCTTAGACGCATGCGATGGGGCAGAGTCCTGGTGGAACACAACATCACCATTAGGGTACAATCTGCAGTAATCATCCTTAAGAAAGGGCTTTATATCTTCTGTATGTAATACTCAGAATTCATTTTGGTCCCAGGTTTCACAAACCGAGGTTTGGTCACACCATGGGCGGATATGCCCATCCAAACCATTACGCCTTTGGGATGAGGCACCGTGGTTGATGGTGTCAAGTCTCGCCTGTTCTGCCCACGGCTAACATATTGAACTTCAGATTTAGCATTGGTATCAGATAGATAGATCCAAGCTTCATCAGTTGTAATGAACTTTCGCCATCTGTCCTTACGGAGAAGCTAGTAGAGTGGCCATGAACGATGCCTCCTAATCTGCACCGATCTCTCACTTAAATTATGACATTCAGGTTTTTTATGGCATTTTTTCTTCAACTTTTGATTTAGTTGATAGCTTACAACTTTCTGACTCACGTTAAGAGCTTTAGCTATGCTTGCCAGTGTTAGTGGATCCGGTTTTGATGTCATCTAATCAAGCTTCTGCAAATCTGATTTCTTCAATTCGCTTGACCGACCACTTCCTTTTGGTTTTGCATTATTTCGCATCGATCCGAGTCTTGAATTCTTGATGCGACTGATATGGCTGAGTGAAATTGCAATACCTTTCCTTTTAAAATGGATTTGCATAATCCTGTGGCTCCATCGCAGTTGTAAAAATGCTTGTACTTGACCAATTAGCTTTTTGTCAAGTTTCTTCAAAGGCATTTTTGTGATTTTATGAAATACTATTGCAATTGAAAGTCTAATAGTAAAAATGTTTCAAAACTTTAGTGGTAGATAAACACAAAAGTGATCCTTATACTTTTTTGTTACCCTGCAACTTGTATAGATTACTTTAGCTTTTTTAATTATTACATAAAGTTTCTTAAGATATTTATAGAGATAAGAACATTTTTAAGAAAGTATGAGATATTTATAGAGATATGAACATTTTTATAAAAAAAAATCAATTTTTTTGAATTTCGTTTTTTCTGCTATGAGTTCATAAATATCCAATAGAATCAAACAAAATTTTTGCAGCAATTTAAGATTAATTACAATATTCTTGATTTAAACTTTAAAAAAAAATTGCTAAAATCTGCGCACGATATGAGTATTTAAGTTAGTTCTTTTATACTGCGCGTGCGAAGAAAAAACTTTAATTTTTCTTCCTCATAATTTTGTAGTGAATCGTACTTAGCAACTAATGAAAACAATTTGATATGAATATCTTAAAAAATTTAAAAGTTTCAAATAATTTTCTAAGTAGATTTTGTAAATTTCAAAAAATAGGTTGAAACGAGTAGGGGATTTTCACAAATATCATTTTGTATAGTTAGGCAAAATATAATAACAAATGATACTACCATACAATAATCGTCATGACACCAAACAGTAGTGTTAAAAGGAAAGAAAACAGAAAATTATTCTTTTATGGGGGATGATCCCCAAAAATATATGGTGTCATTTCAAAATTTTTTTTCCAATGCCCGCCTGGGGAATGACCTATGTCATACAGGCATCTGAAGGGTTGATTTGTTGGTCACTTTTTCAGGGGCACCATATTAGGTGGGCCAACGTTGCTCCCACCGTAAGAACGGATAATACAGATCCATGCCTTGCTCGGGATTTAAACCCCGAACCCTTCTGATGCAAGGCCAGTTCCCTGACCCCTACACAGGCCGGTCGGCTCATTTTTAATAAATCTTGTTTAATTGTACAAGATGAATTGCGGATAATTTTTGTTTTGAGCTTCTTCAAAAAGTGCAAAAAACTACTTAAAAATTTATTTGAAACTTTTTAAATTTTTAATACATTTAAATAAAGCTTTTATCATTAGTTGCTTAATACGATTCCCTAGAACATTAAAAAAAACTGCTTTAATTTTTTCCTTCGCATGCGCAGTATAAGAAAACTAGCTTAAATACTAGCTTAAATATCTTGCAGCTTAAATCCTCATACTAGCTTAAATAATCATATATATATAATTTTTTAAAATTTCATATCAACTGTTTTGTAATTTTAAATCAACAATTTCGCAAATTAATAAATAATAGCTGAAATCTTGTTTAATTCTATTGAATATTTATGAAGTTATAGCAAAAAATACGCAAGGCGAAAAAGAATTTTTTTTTTATAAAAATGCCCATATTTCCATAAATATTTAATCTATGTTTACGAAACTTTATGTAGTTACTAAAAATAACTACTAAAGTGATCCATACAAGATTTTGCTTGATTTTCAGGCATAGGGTGATCAAAAATACTTGCTTCCTTTCGTAATTTATTGTTCGCTTTCCAAATCTCTGAAAACTTTATAACTTAAGTATGAAAAATCACATGAAAGAAAGATCTCTAAAGTTACAAAATAATGATTAAAGTATTTCTTGAGAAAAAAATGTCAAAACTGAAAGTGTCCCTTCCATCCTTCCATTAATATAGGATAGTGTATCTGATAGCATCAATAACCTATTTAGGTCACAGAGATTATCCTTATAGTGAACTTAAGCGTTCGCTATAAAACTATATCAGTGTTGCAGTTTAACAACGATTTTAAGAGCAAACGACTTCAAAAAATGCTCAACAAAGTTAGTGAAACGCAATTTTTCACTTATTCCGATAGGACATAACAGTAAAAAGCAACTATACCTCTTGGAAATGAGAAAGCGTTCATAAATAGAATACAATTTACTACTAATAAAGTGAAACGAAACTTTGAGGTATTGTTGCTTTTATGTTGTTGTTGGATCAACTGCTTCAAAGATACTCATATTTTAACTTTTTAAAAAAATGCCTTAATCGAACTTGAACTTTGATATTTTCTTCAGAGGATACAATTTTTTTAGGAATCTCAAACTTGCATCTCAAACAAACTTCATTTTTCATAGTCTATTTTTTTAACATTAAAAATCGACATAATCTAAACATATAACGAAGAACATTTCATTTTTTTTGCATAATTTTCAAAGTAATGGCTCTTAAGAATTAATTAAGAATTAATTTACCAATAAATTATACAGTGAAGAGCCATTACATTATGACCATCCTCCATCTATAACAATGGACTCTCCCATGTTTTCATGGTTTCTCGCCCAGGAACAGGGCACATCAGGACCCATAATCCTTATAGAACAATCCCTGACCTCTGTAAGCTACTTGAACATAGTTGCAGACCAGGTTCACCCATTCATGGCAACAGTTTTTCCTGCGGGGGATGGCGCTTACCAACAGGATAATGCACCATGTCATAAGGGTCGAATCATCGATGAACATTCCAGTGACTTTCAAGTCATGCCTTAGCCCCCAAATTCACCTGACCTTAATCCAATAGAGCATTTGTGGTCCTACTTGGAAATTCAAATTCGTGCTGCCACGCTACCCCTTCGCAATGTGAGGGAATTGCAGGACCAGTTGGTGAGCGCTTGGTACCATATACCTCAGACTACCTATCAGCACACCTTGTGGAATCAATGCCACTGCGGTTGCTAGCAGTTTTGAGGACTAAAGGCGGTCCTAAATGTTATTAGCAGGGTGGTCATAATGTAATGGCTTTTCGGTGTACATCATAGTATCTCTTAAGAATTAATTCAGCAATAAATTAATAATCATAGTATCTTACCAACAGCCACTCTTCCTGGAGCGTCACTTTTGTTGATCCAGAAAGAAACCCATGATGCACCTACTATCATAGCACAAGGGGCGTAGATTTGCAAAATAAAATACCCTCTTCGTCTTTTTAAAATAAATCTGGCAAGCAAAGAGGATGTTCCTAAAATTTGTATTTTTTTATCAATCAAAAATAATACAGGTTTTATAGATTACATAATATAAAAAATATTAATAACCGGGAGTAGTTACAAAATTAAAAATTCCAATGTACTCCTGAGAAGGAAGTACACTGTTAAAAATTTCGGATCGGATTATGGTGTTGATTTAAATGGATAAATTTAATCTTTTTACGGAAACTGTAATCAGATAAAAAATATTTTCCATAAATTTCTAAACTGTGATAATTCCGGATCAAATTACGGTATAAAGTACCACCACTTTGGGTGCATCCTCCGTAAAATCCATTTTGCCGTATAATTAATTTTAATCGTAAAATATTATACAGTAATTTTGACAGTAATATTCATTTCATTAGAGTGATGCAGTCGTTTATGGCAATTAGTACTGTAAAAATAATGAGATATCGGATTTTTGTGTTGCGGTAAACATGAATTTTACTTAAAAAGTACCGGGAACCTGAGTGCCGGTACTTTCTACCGTAATTTGATCCTTAATTTTCTAAAATGTATTTATGACAAAAAAATAAATGTATTTTTGCACATCAAATTATATTTGCCTGATTAAGACATTTCTGAACAAACATTAGTCATGCATATAGCAGACGCTGAAAAGTAAATTTAACAGAAAAGAGGTGATTTTCATCCCATATTCTCCTTTTTTATGAAGAAGTTTGATAAAATTACGACTTATCTTCAGAATGTAACATTTGTTTTACTATTTATGTGATAATTTTGAAACTTTGATGGTGTTCCTTAAAGGTCATGAAAGATGTTTTAAAAATTTGATAGAAGTGCGTCAAACACTAAATTTAGGGTGCTCGATTTTATGTGGTAGATAATAGTATTCACGATTCCTATCTAGTAGCGTGACATAGTAGTGAGATAGCAAAGTCAAACCAAAGAAAATGTTGAATAAAAAAGGCCACCAAAAGTTTAATAAAAATTTGTTTGATATCAAAAAATTTTTTTTAAATTAATTTTAGGTCCATGAATTAGATTCTATTATTTTTCATGATGCTACTTGTATGGTTTCTAAATTATTCATCCAGACCGTCAGCCCTGAAAAAACGTTTATGCTTCAAAAAAACAGTAAAAAAACGGCCAGCCTTAATCGTTATGCCTCAGGGACACAACGTTAAATCGCTCGAATATTTCGTTTCAGAGGTTATATTTATCAGAAGAGAACTAGTAGAAGTACTAACACATTTGATGGAGTTATCCTTGAGCAAAAAGAATTTAACAAATTATTTATTTGATCTACTTTCCCACCTAATTTGTTAATTAATAAAAGCATCCTTAAAAAAAACAACAACAACGGTTGCAGTTGTAAATTTTACAAAACAATTTAGTTATGAAATCATTATAAGGTGAACGACTTATAATTTAATTCAATGATAACGGTAAAATATTTATTAAAGGATAAAAATGCGGACATATTTGCTTCAGGAGCAAAATAGTAAAATCATATTTCACAGTTGTATTATATAGTAAAATTTTACAATTTTATTAAAGAAAACAGAGAAGTGGGCTCCAGTATACCCTTTTTCTCTACTACTTAAACAAATGACAAAAGAAGTGGTGTGCTCATTCTGAACAAGAATTAAATAGACAAAAATAATTGATTTAAGTTTAATATACAGAAGTTATTCCTTTTTTTTATAAAAGAGTAAGCACGTATCTATTCTTACAAAAGAAAACATGCTAATAAAGGACGAAAACGATCGTTTATAATCATATATGGCTCATTACAAGTGAAATAAAATAAAACCAAAATAAAAAAAATAAAGCGTTCATGTCACTGATTTTAATGAAAATTTTTGTGGAAAAGTTCTTAATGAAAAATGATGGAAATAATATTTTTAAGAATTTTTGGACAGAAAATACGGTTAAGGGGCCATTTTAAAATTTGAGAAATATGACCCTGACGAATAAGACAAGAAAAAAGAACTGAGGTCAAGAAATTTCTTTTCCGCGAAACAATAAAAATCATAAATTATTTTTGTTGAAAACCACGTTTTATTTTTTAAAGAGGAAAAAAAACACCCCAAAAATTATTTCGATAATTATTTTTAAACCTATAGAATTATTTCTTATTTCGATCATTTTCTTAAATTAATAAAAGAAAATTAAGGAAAAAAAGAGCTATCTACTGAGCTTAAAATGCAAATATATAGAACTCATAAAATAAGTCAAAAATATAGAGAAAACATCGAAAAATATGTAAAGATTTCTTAAAAAGGAATATTTATTAGGAAAAAGGATTAAAAATTAAAAATCGAAAACGGAAAACAAAATTAGGAAAAAATTTAATCACGTAATCTCTGCTCACACGATAATATTAAAAAAAAAGTGCTTTCTAATATTGTATTAAAGTAGCCAAAGCAAAATATATTATTACAATGTTGTTAGGAACACCAACACTGAAAGGATAATAAAACTTATTAAGCAAAAAAATTTAAAATAAAACGAAAAATACAAAATGAAAATTCAAGGAAATATGGAATAAAACTAAAAATGTAATAAATGAAGCGAATAGCGAATTCAAAATGCACTTAAACTTACCAGCATTTTTTCAAAAATGACTTAAAATGTTTTCTTAACACGCTGTTCATCATCCTCCATTCACGCCTCGATTTCCATATTTAGTAATCTGGGAAACGGGCGATTGAAAACATTTTGAATAAATTTTGAAAAATCCCGTAAGTGTAAGTGCAATTAATTTCACTACTCGCTTTATATATTACATTTTAAAGTTTTATTCTGAATTTCCTTGATTTTCTTATTTTCTAATTTTTGCATGATTGCTTTATTTTGCATTTTTTGTTTTATTTTTCACTTTCTGTTTAATAAGTTCTATTTTCGTTTCAGTTTTAAGTGTTACTCACACCATAGTATTCATATATTTTGCTTTGGCTATATTACTGCAATGTAAGAAAGCACGTGTTTCGGATATAATCATGTGAGCATATGGCGAGATTTTATTTTTTCCTCATTATTTTGTTTCTCGTTTTTTTACATTTTTGAATATTTCTTAAAATATTTTTTTTTACATTTCTTTTTCTTTTCCTTTATATTTCTTATATATATA